GGGATGGAAACAGTTAGGTAGTGGGTGGAGACCAAATACAGAAAAAAAAAATGCAAACACTGTTCTGTAACTGCTGCAGATGTGAAAACGAACTTCAACTTAAAGTCTACTTCCAAGTGAAAAAAAAAAATCAGAAAAAATCAGAAAAGAAAAAGAAAAGAAATCATAATACTGAAAACAGCAGCAGAAAGGAACATTTCATGTACTCTGCTTCCTGTTGTGTTCAGGTACTTAAGAGAAGGTGTTGGTTTATTAAATCATATTTAAAAATCTACTTTTTGGTGCTTGCAGCCATACACCCATAATTATAAATACTGACATATTGAAGTGCTGTGTTCAGTCAGACCTGCAAAAATCTGAGTTGAACCCTAGAGTCAGACTGAGAGGTGGGCGGACAAGTGGACTGGTGAGGAGATGGTGGGTTTTTGGAAAGTCAGAGAGTTGGGAAGAGAATAAGTCAGATGAGGGAAAGGATAGCTGAAAGCTTTAAATTAGATTGACAACGAAAAGTATTTCTTGCTAAGCTCACGTCCATAACCTTTTAGATGGAGAGATGGACAGCTGGCCAGTGAGATGGGCAATTACAGTGAAACAGTCAGGAGAGATAAAAGCTGTTATTAGGCTGATGGCAAAGAATGAATCAACCAAATGTATCTTGTATGAGGGTTGAGTACACTGCTGTTGAGACGTTTACTGTATGGAGTGAGTGAGTCAGGCCATAAGAGACGGAGAGGAGACCTAAAAGCTTTTATTACAGTGATGACTAAACACAAATAAACAATCACAGCGTTTATGTACCTTGAGCCCCGACCTGTTTCCACAGACAGTCAGACAGACAGTGAGTGAGACAGACAGTGAGACGGCTAAGCTGTTATTATCTGTTCCGGTGGCTGAAGGCTGTGATGATGATCCACCAGTCCACAGATGATTATTATTACCTGAGTAATTACAATGAGTACCTCGGGCTGGAGGCTCTGTGCCTGTATTTCTAATCAAAGCTAAATTAAAACTATTAACTGAATTAATGGCGCTGTGGTGTATGTTGTGTCAGCTCAGAGGAGAGAGCATGATGTCTCTGCCTTTGGAGTATTTATTCATGTCTCTGTGCACATTTCACATGATGAGGAGAGATTTATGAGCGTGACAGTAAACACAAAAGCCAGAGGGGCCAATGTAGAGAGCAGGCGAGGGAGATTAACTGGGGAGTGTATTGAATGTAAAGGAATATCATAAATTATGTATGGTGCATGTTAGGAAACAGGTCAAGGTTATTTTATTAGACACCCACCCAACCTGTCATGACCAGAAACCTTTAACCCCATTTTCTAACCACGTAGTGTCTCTGAGTAAGTCTGCCATATTGTGGTAAGTGGTAGCCTTGTTTTCTGACCCCATAAAATGTTTGGGCTGGGACGTTTAAAAAAAATTGAGCGTGTGCAAACTAAAACACATGCGGTGACCAAAATCACTACTTACTAATAAAGATAATTAGAAATCATAATTTTAGAATCTCTCTCTCTCTCTCTCATTCTCTCTCTCTAAAGATAGAGGTCTCTGCCAAACAAACACCGCTTCACTCCCCCCTACACTTTGTGTGGGATTGTATCTCTTCCCTTTTAATCAGATTTAACATAAATCCAAAATATTCAAACAAGTGATTCAGGTGTAACTTGGGAAAGAAAAGAAAAATCAGGCAGATCAAATGTAGTACAAATATATCTTCAGAGTTTGATTGTGACGCTGGAGATGCCAGATCTAATCAAACAGGTGCTGGTCCCAATAGAAGGTGCCAGATCCTTTTCTGGCAGGATCCGGTACAAATTAAACTCTGATTAATATCCTCCAGGAAAGATGTTCTCAAACCATGCTCTGTTTCATCACATTTCACCACCTGCTCAATGCAAGCCTGATTTCTACACTGCTTTCAGTATGGCTATTTAGAACAACCATTGCACATCGCACAAACTATTTGGTTTTCGGCATACCTTTGCTTTTCATCTCATCTTATCTAATCTAATGCCAGAATAAAATGTTTTGATTATATGGTAAATGTAGTTCAATACAGTTGCTTAATTAGCATAAATTGTCACTTTTGACTTCTGTAGGACTGTATATTCTGCCTGTATATATTAATTATTAATATTTCTTTCTGTAGCACTGTTGTGCATAGAACATAGGCTAACTGATGGAGAAATATGTGACATGTTGCGTATGCTAATGGATGTGGCGTGCTTTAATATTGTTCAATGAGCACACTCATGCAGAATCATTATATATGATGATGGTCTGACATGGACTCATCTGTAATTATTGTGAGGCTCCTGTAAATTGGCCACAGCAAGAAACATCGGTTATTAGAGTGCAGCTGTAGTCACATTGTCTGGATCAGTCCTCATTTTTTACGAAATAGCAATAAACAAGGCACCGTCATAACTGTACTTACTTCAACCAGAGTTTTGAGTTTTAACATTAAACCGTTTTTCCAGATGTATGATGTATGCATCACCCAATGAATTCAGATCCAAGCACTGAAATGATTATCATTCTGCAGTGAAAAAACCTGTTTCGCCATAACTGCGAGAGCACATCAAAACCGACATCAAACTAACATTGAAATGAAAGAGCATCAAACCAGCATCAAACATTGTGCAGATATCCCTGAAGATCAGAGCTTTAGAGAATTAAAGACTTTCATGGAGAGAAACGAACCTTCAATGTCAGAGAAAACTGACTGAATCAGTTCCTAACACACTATATAGAGGGAACCTATTGTCAGATTGATTTCAACGCCTTGCTCATCATGTTTGTGGAGCTAACAAACACATGGAATTTGACTGAAATAAGAGGAAAAAAATCCCCCAATGCATAACTCTGAAAGACGTAATTAGTACAAATGTATATTTCTTCATTGCATATATTTGCGGTTACTATGAAGCTAGTGTCAATTGCCTATTCGTCGGACCACCCTGTCCACTGACGCAAAGCAATGCATCACCAAAGCTCCCCACCTCACTTTGTTTTCCACAATCAGAGTGGAGCCTGCTCACTTGAGAATTGTAGCATTTTTAACAGAGATAGCAACAACACAGTGTGTGTGTGCAGACTCGTGTGCCAACACAAGTGTTAACAAACACAGGCTCTGTTCATTCTGTGGTGATGACATCCCGTTAATTTTGAAAACATTATGTTATTTTAGTTAAAACAGGGTAATTGATGGTATGAAGCGTGATTAATGACAGCCACTGGTAGGATCAACGATTTTCTCATCAAGTCATTATTGTTACCTGCACATATGTTTCACACAAGCACCACTAGTCAGATTGTTTATCTTCAATCAACTGCTATACAAATAGACATTAGCAGCTGTTTAATATGCAGCAATTACTTACTGCCCTTCTTTCCATTTATTTGCATATGAGTGCTTAATCAAATAAGACTGTCCATCTACGGCCACTCCTCTAAATGTCAGAGTCTTGTACTAAGTGAATGGGATCAGGCCTGTTCATGCACACCGTCCACTGAGGTGGAATGATTCAAAGCACATTACATCTGTCATGCTTTACAAAGCGCCCATCGCTGTAAACAGAGTGGAAAGATAATACAGTGAAGCCTATCACACGCCCCGTTGAAAATAATTAATCCAGCATACAAGCGTTAGGAAACAGATGAGGGAGGTAACACACAATAAACTGTGTGCGGCATTTACTTGTTGTTTGGCAAATTTGTTACCTGACTCTGTTCGAGTGGGCGGTGTGTGTCTGTGCATGGAGGCATGGCTGTGTATGAACTTGCACCTGAGCACGTTGAAAAAAATATTGTGTTCACTTTTGAATATGATTTTTATGCGCTTTTTTGTTTGTGTGTTTTTCTGTGTGTATTTGTCCCTCACGCTTGTGCAGTGATCGGTGTTTGAATTTGTGATCAGACTGTCCGGGGAGACCCTGGACAAAATAGAGCACAGACAGGTGTGACATATTAGAAATTTGGTCTCGACTCGCATAAGCAGGCCACAGAACAATGAATATCCATCCATAACAAATGGCAAAAGATAGAATGAGAGAAAGAGAGGAAGACTGAGAGTGAGGGGGAAGAAAAAAGAGGATATTTTTTCCATTTCAACAGAACAGCGACTTTCCAATTTTAACACAGTTCTCATTTTAAAATTCAGACTGGAATGCAGCAAGATATTAATTTGGGAAAATCAACAGAGAAATTGGGTCACATGTATGCTATTCATTTCACGCTGCCAAAACAAATAAGCAATTTGAGAGAAAGTGAGGGAAGTGGAGGGAAAGAAAATGAAAAAGAAAATGATGTAAGTGCAGCAATGTAATGAAAGAGGAAAGGTGACCAGGAGGGAAAGTGTAAGAATGTGAAGAGGGAGGTTTTACTGGCTGATGTACACTGAGCAGAAGAGAGGAGAGGGGGAGAAAGAGGGAGAAAGACACTGAAACGAGATTGAGTTTGGAACTTAATGAAAATGGAGGACAGGGGGGTTGCATTCATTGCAACACACATCCACTGAATGTAAACTAATGTGGCCGGCGTTCATCTCAATTAGACGTTAAACATGAGAGCAGAGGTCAGGGTCATTGTTGCATTTGGCTCATTTAGGCTGAAAATAATTGGCTTCTTTGCAGACGTACAGACACAGACAGAAAAATTGAAAACAAGGAAACACTCACAGACAGGATGCTGTTTTGAATAGATTATGCAAATTAGACACAGAGTATATCAGCCTAGCGGAAGAGGGGGAGTCAAGTGTGAAGGTTGATACAGGCTAAGGCAGTATTGGTTATACAGGTTAATGCAACACTGATTGGTGCTCAGAGGGGCGAGGGCAGGAGTTCCAGGGGAGAGATAGAAGTCAAACAGCACAAGTGTGAATATGGAAACTGGTGGAGCAGTAGTACACACATATATGTGAATGAGTATATAACAATATTCTACTTAATTGGCTGTTGTATTAATCATCTTTCTTCTCCCCCCTCTCTCTTTAGGACAGTCCGTTGATCCTTCAGTCAGACAGAAATGTGACCGTCAATGCTAGAAACGATCAGGGACAACTGACCGGTCAGCTAATCGTGGGTAAGACACACACACAAACACAAGTACTACATTGCCCACATGTACCACAATGGTTGTAAACATCTTCTCCTGAAGCAACCTCCAAACCAGATCATGTGTACAAGACAGTCAGTTATATTGCTTTGCTTGTGCTTGAATTCATGCATTCATTTTACCTCTGTTTACCAAACTATATGCTATCTGTTTCCATTAGTGTATCTCACTGAGGCTGACAGCTGTGCTGTTTTCTAACCTAAATCATTTCTCCAAGCGATTAATGGATTAGTGATGGCTCAGCTGAGGCTCAATACTGAGAGGACACATGACATATATGACTTGTTCTGTACAAAACCCATAAAAAAGTTAAGTAATACTTGGTGTGCAGTGTATCCTTCCCATTTTATATGAATATGTTAAACTATCTTCCTCTTACTGTCGTTCCAATTTATCGAAACGTAATCTTGAATAATAACTATTTCAGTTATAGAGAAGGAAATGGTTGGCCTCTGGTTACAGTGCGGAGGTGGTGAAAAGCAGTCGTGATTGTTGAGCTGATTATAACACGACTTTTAAACTGTGGCTTCCTGAAGAATGTACTTCAATCAAAGTCTAATTATAATGGCATCTCAGTTTTATCGGTGTTAAGGAAAAAAGTTTAAGCCTTTTCAGATAGGGAAGCTTAAAGTTTTCAAAGGCTTTAGGGCTGGTAGCATTGACACCTATAACTATGTTGTTATCAGAACTCCTGTGGCTCAGGAGGTAGAGTGTGATGACTGTCAGCTTTTCCAATAGACAGACTCAGCGATAAACAGACGAGTAAATGGAAGATGATTAGTTAACAATAATTAAGATGCACACTTGCAGTTGTCAATGCAATACTCTTGTGGTGAACACGGTTTTACTCATTTTTAAACCATCACAAATAGTAAATACTGTTGTCCACTAATGAGAAGATCAAATCTTCGATCCTTCACTCTTTGCATGTCAGATTGAGTAGGTGAATGTTACCTGTTGTGTTAGGACTGGAAAAGTGTAATATAAATGCACCAAGAACACCATATTTGACGCTTGTCAACAAGTGGTAACATTCAGTAAATTTTAATAATGCAGATGATCAGAATAAAACAGTAAAAATATGCATATAAATGCTCTAATGAGGAAAACAACAAGACCTTACATGGTACCATGAGGTACACCAGAGCCCAGTGGAGAATTCTGCATTTTTTGTACTTGTTTTCGAATTAATTTAGAGAATTGTAAAATTGTACAAAGGGTTCTTGAATGACTGGAGCAGTGACAGCACTGAACCTTGGACAACAGTGTGGTAAAGGAGACCTGTGATGAACAGGTGACAGAGATGTAAGGGTGGAAAAAAAGGGTCAATAGCAGTCAAAATATCATTTGTTACTCAAGTCCGGTGTACCAGTATAATATGAAAAGAGTGGAAAGATTGATCAACTCTAACTCAGTTGGTGAAGCGATAGTGGAGGCGTTATCATGTCCACTGGGGTAATTTTCATCAGAGACAATTTGTGAAAACAAATGTGGACAATAAAAATTAGGGACCTGACAGAAATACATCTGCAATGTGTGCAAGGTTCACAAAGCTGTAAAACACAAACACTATGCTCAGTGATAGGGCCATTAAGGATTTGGACGTAAATTACATAATTAGAAAATATTAATTACTTAAGAGGCTTACTGTTGTTACTACCAACAAACTGAGGATGAACTGTTTGTACTTGGAGAGGATCGGTGGAGTTGGTGCCTTTCAGTGAGCCAATTTGAAGAGAGAAGGTGCTTGTGACAGAGGTGACGAAGCAGGTTGGATAAAACATGGTTTTGAACTTTTGTTGGGATTAAATATGTTTTATTCTTGCCATTGCATAAATTCAATCACCAACGGACAGCACTAACACAAAGTGTAAATGCAAAGCTCTCTTAGGTCACATAGAGGTCACAGTATTAGCCATCCTGAAATTTATTCTAGTAAACTAATTCTCATCAAATTAAAGGTCACTGTGGCCTCTGCACATGCTTTTCTACACAAATCAACAAATACACTTCACACAGTTGATAGAAATCCTTGAATTTCTTCACTACATATGTTAAAAGTGTCTGGAAAGACATGGATGTAAACTACTGACCAGTTGAGGTAGGCATACAACCATGATGGAGCAAATGTAGTTATTACTGATGTATTTGTCGTATCTTTTTCCTTTCAACCATATATGGAAAACATGCTTGAATTGAATTGATCTTCATGGGCTTCGGTCATAAAAACTTGGTTCTCGTGTTTTCTAGAAATGACAGTAATATACCATGGACTTGACTTCATACAGTTTCATGGTGATGTCAGAATTCAGGATGCTGCACATTTAGAAGATCATTTCTGAGTAGCATTTACAGATGACAGTTGAGGTGAACGGTGTTTTCAGGCAGGAGGCTCATCTCCGCTGCTGGTTTGACGTGAATGCAGCATATAGACGTTCATCTCCTGCAGGCTGGCCAGGCAATTCTAGTGTCTTTCTATGCGCACACACACTTTCTTTCCCTCTCCAACCATTTGACGGTTTGAAATCCCTGACAGCTCACCTCCTGCTGATACAACTCCCTAAAGCTGCTTTTCTCATGAAGAAAAAGCTCTTTAATGCTCATGTGTGTCTGTCTGCCCTACCCATCTTGGAGTCAGTCTGTTTTATAACTAGATGGTCAGACAGCCTACTGCAGCCAGCTTATTCAGGCTACTGCAGGATGGCAACAAGGGACGGAATGTGGGTTCCAACTCATACAGTTAGACACACAGAGTCGTGTGTTGATTCTCTTACTGATGCTATCTTTGTCACACACTCACATTTACACACACCTACACTGCAGCCACAACTTTCGGCTAAGATTTACTAGACACGGGGAAACTTGACAAGCCAGTAGGAGTTCCATCAATAAATACTTTGTGACACACACAACACACACACACATTCACACACTTAAGACCTCAACGGCTGGCTGATGGGATGGAATGGGAAGGAATGAATCCCCCCGGGTAGCTTCTTATATTGGGTTTCAGAAATCCCTTGGTCTCCTCCTGCAGGGGCCTCCTGTTACCTCTGTGCTGACTCAGCAACAGATTTAACACACACACAGACACACACACACAAAATGACTCACTCCTCTCTCTTTAGTTCCTTGCTATATTCAAAAATTCTGAAAGTTAGACAGTTATTACTTCTCACCAGATGCTTGCCACATCGAGAACAGGAAGGTTCCACCTCAGTAAACCCCTTATTAGTATTCATCACTGAAACTGGCCAGAGGAACAGCTCGCTCCAGCTTGTACAAGAGGCACAGGATCGTCACGGTCAGTGGTATGGAAAGGTGAAATGGCCACAAACGTTTAGAGTAGTATATTATCAGAAAACCAGGACACAAGTGAAGTGACACCTCAGAATATATAACGTGCTAATTTGGTTGGTAGAGAAATGTTTGAGGGAGGTGAGACAAGACCTCAGCTTTCAGGTGAAATCACTGCTTCTGCAACAGAAATAACTGTGAACACAGTGTGTTTAAGTTTTTTTCGGATATCAGGATAATTTATCAATTTAAATCAGACATAAGTCACCATGACATCAGCTCACAGCTCACAGCATGATTTTGTTATTTACACATCAGCATCAAATGGCAACTGATGATTGCTGAATTCTTAATACTTTAATACTTTCAACATTGTAACCTGGCCAGTCTGTGGAGTTCATTCTAAAGGACACCTTTCCACATTTAGTTGTTTCTCACACAGGCTATATCCATGGTAATAATACACTTTAATTTTAAAATGTTATCATAATACAAAAACTATCTCTGTTAAATTACATGCTACAGCTCAAGAGTATTCTCTGTCCATACTTTTACACCTGAAATCACAAATTGCGTGACAATTTACTTAGACTGGGTATTTGTGTGCTGGTGTAAACGGGTAGCAGACTATCTACTCCACAGCCTGTTGCTTATGATTGGGAAACAACAATGTTGAAAAGTGAGAGGAGGGATTTCTTCTCTTGTGACAGTGAGGCGGAACTGTTACTGATTGTAAGTATTGACAATGGTTTGGCTTTATCATTGGTTGTTGAGTTGTGAGTGTGGAGAGCCAATCAAGAGGCAGATGTGGGAGACTGTGTTGCTGCTTAAAGACGTCTCCATTTGAACGCAGCCACAAATCACAAACAGTGTCTGCAGCATTTCTAAGCGTCTCAGTTTTAGGTGCTTGAAAACGTACATAACTGCAGTTCGGTGATTTGTTTGTAACCTTAAACGTAGAAGTGTAAAGTAGCCTTAGAAACACACACACACACACTGACACTCTAGTGTCTTGTGAGCCCGGGAGGGCCCATCTTTCAAGAGAGAGGGTCTGAGTACATGCGTTGGCCTTGGGCTTCTCATCTCAGTTTTATTTCTCTCTCCCTCTCTGCTTCTAACATCCCTCCATCACATATCCTCCTCACCATCCTTTCCATTGCTGTCAGCTCGTTAATGTGAGGGAGAACCTGTCATCTTTGTCTTCTGAATGGCCAACCATAAAGATGATGAGTGAACGTGGAGTTTTGAAGCCCTACCCTTTCACCCACCTTGGTGATGATTTCCTGGCTTTGGAGCCAGTGCAGTTTTGTCTAAACAGAAAACACTGAAAGACAACACTGCATGCAGTAGACTTATCATCATGAAAAGACGTGTTTCCAAGTTTTTATTGCAAATAAAAATAAAAAAAACACAAACTTTAGAGTAAGTCATATCCTATTTCTTTTTCTATCCCTCACTTTTATTCTACCCATGGTGTTTTGGCCTTACAACTAATCTTGGAAATCACCAGATAACAATTACCTTAGACTTACAAAAACAATGAATTCATTGTATAGATATGTCATACAGCAGCTTTTATCATTTCCAATTATTTCCCAGTATTTCTTATTAATGCCAGAAACATTTTCTCCTCATGTTTATAATGTCCCAACATAAAAATACTTTTTTGT